TATTTGCGACACTTGACTTGGATCAACCCGACATTCTGGATGTCGATGGCCCATCGAAAACTCTGGCAGCCACTCCATTACCCCCTTCAGTATCACTTACGTCACTTGTGAGTGCCGCTATACCGGGAACCAGTCGCTACACCCCAGGACGCCCGACATCATTTTCCCGAGCAGATCAATCATTTTCTTACACACCTGCACCAAAGCCAGCAGGCCCGCCGAGCCGTCCACCATGTGCACAGAAGGTCGAGGCAGCCATTATAAAGCTCAATGCCATTCTTCACCCATCCCGAGGCCCGAATACAAGAGGATATAAACCGCTAACTTGAATATGGTTTTGCGTGCTCGGCTGGAATTGATGATCAGTTTCCTCCGCCTGTATGCATCCAATGGGTATAATCAGTGGGCGAAATCAGCGGATATCATTGCGAAATCTGCTGGCAAGGGCTCCTGGCTCTCCCAACGGATCCGTGAATGGGCGGTCAACTTCATCTGGGACGAGAAGAATCTGCCAACAGCTGAGTACGGCAAAATGAATGGGTCGGTTCTGGAGGATGAGGATTTGGTGCAGGAACTGCATCTGCACCTTCAGGGCATTGGGAAGTATGTTTGCGCACAGGACATTGTCAATTATATGGCCACAGACGAGATGAAAGTCCGCTTGAATCTCAAAAAGGGGATATCACTCCGGACCGCACAAAGATGGATGAAGCGCATGGAATATTGTTGGACCGCCGAACCAAAGGGGATGTATTCGGATGGACACGAACGAGAGGATGTTGTGGCCTACCGACAGAATGTCTTTCTCCCTTGATGGGCAGAACTGTCCAAGTACACCAGAAAATTCACAGCGGATGGAGACGAGGTTGGATCACCAGAAGCAGAAGCGGCAAAAGCGGCCCCAAAGCCTAAGAAAACCAAGAAGCGTGCCGTCGAAGATCTCGAAGAGGTGTGGGATGATGAAGAGCTTGAGCAAGCGTGAACCCATCTCAGGTCTCCACGACGAATCGATTTTCTATGCAAATGATTGACGCAAACTGAGATGGGTTCACGCTTCCGAGACTGCCAAGCCGTATGCAAAGGGAGAGGGAGCTTCAATGATGGTTGCAGCTTTCGTTTCGGAGTACGGATGGCTTGCCCGGCTCACACTACGTCCGGGGAAGAACCGTGATGGGTACTACACAAATGCCGAGATCCTTGTGCACGCGACGAAGGCCATGGACATCCTGGATGAAACTCGACCACATGAGCGCCATGTCTTCGCTTACGACAATGCCAAAACTCACACAGCACGGGCTCCAGATGCATTGAGTGCGCGCGATATGGTTGTCAAGCCACCGACATCCAAAAGCAAGAAAAAGAATTTCCTGTGCAAGGCCAAGACTGCAGATGGTGTGAGTGGATCCGAATGCGAGACGGCCAGTTCGCAGATGGCACCCCACAGCCTCTTTACTTCCCCGAAGGTCACCCGCAGGCCGGAATATTTAAAGGAATGTGCATCTTGATCCAGGAACGTATAGCCAAGGGAGCCGCTCTTCCAAATCCGGATAAACTAAAGGCCCAATGCTCTGGTTTTAAATGCCCGCCCGGATGCACTGACTGTTGTTGCCGCCGGGTCCTTTTCACGCAGCCGGATTTCGTCAATCAAAAGTCAATGCTCGAGGAACATTGTGAAGCTCGTGGATATGAGGTGATCTTTTTCCCAAAGTTCCACTGTGAAATCAATTGCATAGAGCAATGCTGGGGATTTGCAAAGCGGATTTATTGCATGTTTCCATCATCTTCAAAGGAGGAGGATCTGGAACGTAACATGAATGCTGCACTTGATGCCGTTCCATTGAAATCTATGCGGAAGTAAGTTTTCTTTTGCTTTCCTTTTCACAGAAAATCTTGGGGCTGATTTAGATTGACTGCAGGTTTGCGATGCGTTCAGATCGCTTCATGGCTGCTTATCGAAAAGGTCTAGACGGATCAAAGGCAGCCTGGGCAAGCAAACGATACCGTGGTCACCGAGTTTTGCCGAAGAATATCATGCGTCTCTTCGATAAATTTGTACGCAAAAAAAAGCCTGTTCATTCAGAAGCGTAGTAGGGTACACAGTTCAATTTACAACTGTTTTTCAACTGCCAAAAACACTGGAATACGCATCCAGAAAAATCGGATTTCCCTCCCTCGACATTTTTGCCGTGTCACGTCACGCGTGACATACCCACGTGACCACTCGTGGGGAGTGACTGACACCTACCTTAATTACAATGTGAAAGGTAACAAAGGGCTTAACAAAGCCCTTTGTCAAAACAATCGACACATGCGTGATACTTCGGGAATGCATGCGTATTGCGCATGTGGATTTCACATGTGTTGGCTCTTGCCTGCAGTGAAAGTGAGTATAAGTACCATAGACTGAGTTATATGAAATTTTGGCTGTATGACATCTTTCCAAACCCATACAAGCCTTGTGGCTCACAAAACCAGGCCGTTTGAACAAGTCTTGAGCTTGCTAGATAGCATTCAACCCCAAAACAGCCCAAAATCCAAGTTCATTGACCATACAATATTTTTCCAAGTCTATTTCTATCACTAATTCCGCATGAACTAGCCTAGCAAATCTAGCCCATTTTCAATCAACTCCGTTGAGAATTGGCCGAGCTATGGGTAATTCTTTGAAAACAGCCCTAACGAAATTTTTTTTGGCCGCGCCCTCGGTACTGTTATTAGCTGTAACACGGTTGCACGCGAAATTGATTGCACCGGGAAGCTCGGTCAGATTCTTGGTCAGGTTCATCTGGATCCCGCAGGACTCATATATAGGTCTCGCGAACGACAAATGCGTCAAGAAGGATCACGAATATCAAGGCGGTGCGCGCGAACCTCAAGGAGACTGGAAAAACAGACTTCGACATTTTCATTACCACCATCCGGGTCCTGGACCAAGTGATATTGGTATGGGTAAACGGGAATCGTTTGGGGACTTCGTATGATGGACGGATCTCGTAGAGGTATTGTTTGAGGTACGGATCCTCCGCGTTCCATGGTAAGATAATTCATAGTGGAGAGTGGACTTACAGGCTGGTGATGCTAGCGAAAATCTCAGAAATGGCGACCAGGATGCACGGCCCAGCAACGATCCAAAAATTGAGCGGGGCAGCATTGGGCTTCCCGTCCGCGGTTGTGCACGCAGATGGCTGGTGGTTATTGCACGGAGACCGGTCACACAAATTCTTCTCGGGGACTGAGGCGTAAACCATCGCTGTAGTCGCGTTAGCCTCCCGTTATAAAGCGCTTGGTCAAACCAGTGCGCACCTGAAGCGGCGACAAGGAAGCCGGCGGTAATCCGCTTATTGGGCTAAAGTTGATTCCGACTTTGCGCAGAGACGGATATATCACCCGCTCGAAAACCGGGATCAAGGCCACGATGGCAATGGGGTCGAGATTCTTGTCAAGGTCGTTCGGGGAACCTGTCCATCTTCATGAGAGGAATGTAAAGGATTATACCGTGGAGTGTCATTCCAGCGGCCACGGTGCCCAAATTCCCGTCGATTTGGGAGTAACCTTCGTAATGAGTGTAAGAGAATCTGTGGCGGAGGAAAAGGGGAAGTACAGAGCCAGTATATGGGGAAGAACAAGAACACCTTGCATGCCACCATTGTCCGGTGTACTTCACCAACAGACTCGTCATCCCACGTAATGTTCCCTGGGACCTCTCCGCCCTTGTACGTGCCTAACGCGATTCAGTCAATGGGAATCGAATCCGCCTATGACTCACTGGGCTTCGCAGGATCCCAGAACCCAGGTCGTCTGATATTCCTCCAGGTAGCAAAGGGATTCCAGCTACAGCGTGCGGCGAGGCACACTCCGACAACACGGGAGGTTTCCAGCAGGATCGACCCACGAGGTGGGACGACCACGTAGTAATTCCTGAAGCCTGTTGTGATCAAGCCAAGGCGAAATAATTCTGAGAACTCACCTGCAGCCGAGTCTATTGGCGCAGGGAGGTGGTACGCTTGATTTTTTCAGTCCTCGCTTTGTAAATTGACTTGAGGTCCTCACTGATGGTTGAGATAATGCCTTTTCTGCGCAGTATCCCGAATCATGCAGAATGCCGCTCGAAATCAGCAGAATTTGTAGGTAGTAAGCGGCCGTGGGGCCCGGTACACAGCTGCATTGAATGCGGAAAAGATCGAGTCTAGCAGCATACCCGGGTTCGACTCCGGGCGCCCGCCATTACTCGTTTCAGCTCATTCCTGACCCCCTGCACTTTGGACAAGCTGCAATGAGAATTGGGTGCTAAAAAGATGTCAAAGTCAGCCAACATGGTGGTCCTTGAATCGTAGGTAGGGAGCGGGCGTGGTGTATGGTACACAGCTGTCTTCAATGCTTTGAATAGGAATTCTATGCATGCAGCAGACCCGGGTTCGACTCCCGGCACCCACATATGAGGCCAGCGCGTAGTTTTTTGTCAAGAGAGTTGGTCCCCAGTATCTTCGCAGAATGCATTTCGACCATGTGTGTTGTTATCTATCGGGCAACGGCACACGATATATGGAGGAATAATCTTGGGGAAGGACTCTTGAAGCACTCACTCACCTTGAAGAGTTTGCCACGTAGGGAAGACTAAATCGTAGGGAGGAAGCGGTGCTGGTCTACGCTGCACCGCTGGTTTCGATTCAAGCCTCGGTTCCAGCAGTAGGACTGGGCTCGATTCCCGGCCACCGCATGGCCAAAGAAAGAGGTACATTCTTTGTCGCTCGGTCTGTAACAATTGCCCGGAGGTCCGCAATCACGGTGGTAGCGATAACAGGTTTTGGTGGGAGCTGGTCTGCTAGTAGCCAACTCGGCAGGCGGCTACATGACATTGAGTACTCTTAGACATACACTGCCCACCTCTGTGCTTTTTAAGAATGGGGGCCCGAAATCTCTGGTCCGACCGATTGATGGTCCCTAACAGCTGAGAATCTGCAGCTGCTCGACATGGGACAGCGTGAAATTGCAAGGAGGAAGCGGGTGTGGTGTACGGTACACCGCTGATTTAATTTGTAGGTTTCGAAGATATTCCAGCAGCAGAACCGGGTTCGACTCCCGGCGCCCGCATGGGATATTGGTGTCGTATCTTCTTATTTTTTTTGCTACTTTAGGCGTTCTTGCTGTTTGGCACTGCGACTGCGTTTGGTGCTATGAATTCGGGTGGATGCCGACCTCGGGAATCGACCGCGGCGGGCCCGCGCGCCTTCCCGCACATGTACGGATCAAATTTTCCTTGTCCGCATCATCACACGTAATTGTTGACGCGGCAGATATCGACGCCGGCCTCTCTCCTCCCGCGCTCATGCTCCCTCGCTTCCCCCGCTCGTCCTAGCCCTCATCCTCGCGCTCATTTCCCTCCCTGTGGTCAATCTGACCGTCGACCAATCGAACGACTCGGACGCATGCTTCAGCTGGACGGAGGGCACGGGGAGCCCGCGCCCGACGCTGCCGCGCCGCGATAACGCCTGAGACACCGCGCGTGCATTGTTCAGCGCAGCCGCAGACGGGGGACATCGAGAACACGACGTGGAACGACGGGACGAACAACAGCGGCGGGGCGCTGAAGCTCCAGGGTGCGTGCATCTCTCCTCTTCTTTTTCCAAATCCAAATCCAAATCTAAATTTACTTCCGCGCCCAGTGGTTTTATTTACTTACATGAGACGACGTGGCCGCCGGCGCAGCGATGTCCCTTCGGCATCGACCTCGCGACCGCGAAGGTCTCCTTTACATTCGACGGCGCTCCCACCACTACGCCAAGTCCTAGCAGTTCGTCTTCCGCGCCCTGTTCTTCGCTGCGCGCGATCTCGACACGGATGAACCACGCGTGATTGCGCGCCCGGGGCGAACCGCACCCTCGCGTGGGTACTGCATGTGACGCCGACGAACGGGACGGTGGGGCTGTTCGAATATTCTTCTTCCCTCTTGTGGGGTGCGCATGTCCGGATACTTACACGAAAGTCTCAGCAGAACAAGTCGTTCTCCTCGGCCTCGTCGCAGTGCCCGCCGGGCGTGGCATAGGATCCGAGTGCTACGTGAGTCCTTCTTCATTTCCACTTCTGCTTTCTCCGCGAGTGTTTTTCTGCGCAACGGGACGCGTCGCTACTGCCCCCAGGCGCGATCCGTATGTTGGCAACAATATTCGGGACATCCCACAACACTGAAGGAAAGCCCGCGCCATTTGTCGACTGCGGGCGTAACGAGCAGGCATCGTAAATGCACTCAGTCAACTTCTCCGCGTTTCCCCCATCAACTTGAATTTGCGCCTAGGCGCGCTCACCGCTGAAATGAAAGAGCGGAGGAGGAACTGAGATACGAGAAAAGACCCGGTCCGACTCTCCGCCCTCGCTGCAACCGCGCCGAAAATTCCTGTGCACGCGGAAACACGTCATCCGAAGTTTTCAAAAAAGGGAGCATCATCCTCCGAAATGTTATCTTCGCGCCCCATTGGACAAGACTCTCTATTCCACGAGCTCATGCCGTGGCCTGGAGTCGAACCAGTAGGTCCCACCATCAGCGGTTAATAGCTGCGGGTGCGATGCCTTTAGCATTTTTCAGCATGCGCGAGACCGTGAGCCACGACCTCCATTTCTCAGCATAATCGTCCCTTTCAATCTTGTAGTGTTTCCTTCATAGCAGCAGATAACAGGAGCTCCCGTGAGCCAATTGCATTGCCTGCTCATTGGGAAATGGGAAGTGCTCTCAATCATGTCACGACCTTGGATATCCGGGCGAGCGGACATGGGGCTCACAGAGCCAATGATCGGGTCATTAAACTGAAGCCGTTATACAAATCAGAGATCCCTTCATGATCATGAATGTCCGATCTGTATACCATCGAATTCATTTGGGGAAACTCAATTCCATTCAACCGGGGCGCGAGGGGGGCCGATGCTTGTATTCCTGCTGTCCTCCAATTCATGCACTCTTCACAAAGACAATCCCATACAGCATGTTCGTTCAGCGCGTGGCGTCCCAAAGCGTTCGCATGGTCCACCGTCCACGTGCCGAACCGTGGTATGACCTTGTTCCAACCGTCCGTAATTATAACGTCCATAATTCCTATCGGCCTACATAAATACCGCCTCGTCGGCGCTTTCATCGCCGTGCAACCATTATGTAATATTACTCACGAGTAGTTAGGTACCCGGGCTAGTAAACGCCCGCCAAGATTTGCTTCATCTATAACATCATGTTTTTCCGGCGGAGGTACGAGTAAAGGGGGCATTTATTATACTCGTAGTACATACCGGCAAACATAGCGGCAAACAAGCGTTTGCGGACAAAAAGAATGCGCATGCGATGACTCTAAAGACTCGATGATCAATGTATAATGGCGACCAACAGAGACGAACGAAGGTGTCCAGAGAACCGAGGAGCGCAAGCAACCTCGGGTTGAGTTACCTGACCTAATTTTCTTTCCAGATAGTGCAGTCCGTCAATATTCGCTGCTCGAGTCAAACATTGAACGAGTAGCCCGCGATCGGGAGCAAGAATTCAAGAGCCTCTTCAGATACTTAAATATCGAGAAGGAAAAGTGCTCGGGCAGTTCAAGATCCAAAATATGCAAAAAATCAAAGGCATTTCATATTCGAGGCCTATATTACGTGCAAGAAAAACTAATAATAGCACAATCCAGTACATGGTATCAATCGTCCACCAAGCTTGCGCATGCATATCGTGATCGTAAACGTCCCCCCCGGGTATATCCTCGCTCCCAAATCTACACCTTCGGCGCCCCATTGGACGGCGCATCATGCTTCTTCGCATTGACGATGTCAAACGCATCCGAGCGCCACTCGTCGCCCTGCACGGCCAGCTCGTCCTTCGCGGCCGTGCGGTTCACCCACCCGGCGGGGTTCCCCGCGGCGGGCAGCAGCGAGTTGCGCTTGTTCGCGACGACCTTGAACTGCGAGGCGCTCGCGGAGGACACGACCGAGCCCGCGTCGTCCTTCTTGCGCTTGAAGATCTGTCCACGCATCGCGTCAGCGCCCTACACAAATCACGGCGCGCAAAGGAAGACGCACATCAGCGAGCACCTCCCGCCTGCTCCCGTCCTCGCTCGCGTGCGCCTCCGCCATGCGCGCGCGCACGCCCACGAGCTGCCCGTCCGCGTACTCGAACGCCGTGCGGATCCCGTCCGTGAGCGCCTTCTTGATCTGCGTCTTGACGAGCCGCGTCGCGAGCGGCTTGAGCATCTTGTACAGCAAATCGTGCTTCGAGTCGCGGATGCTGAACTTGAGCGTGCCGACCTTGACGCGCACGCGCTGCACCGCGAACACGCTCGTCGGGTCCGTCGCGGCCGAGGACGTCAGCGTCACCGTCGCCTGCACAAAAAAAAAGAAGAGTCAGCCGCGCCCGGGGGGAGGGGGAGGGGGACGCACGGTGACGCCCTGCCCGCCGAGCACCACGTCCGCGAGCCCCGAGTCGCTCATCTTGAGCCCCGACTTGGTGCGGAAGTAGAACGCGACGCCGCGCATGTCCGCCTGGATCTGCGCGAACGTGAACGTCACCTCGTGCCGCGCGGCGTCGCCCGCGCCCTTGCCGTACGGGCTGAACTTGACGTAGTTGTGCGCCTCGATCTCGACGACGTTCGGGAAGAGGTTGCGCCCCGAGAGCGTGAGGTTCTCGATCACGAGGTCGAGCGCGGCGTCCGTGTACTCGACGCGCGGGATCGGGACGTAGCCGACCTGAGAGGGAATGGTCAGTCAAATGAATTGCAGGGAATGACTGGCGGACGCACGTGGTCGATCAGCGCGGGGAGTATGACGACGCGCACGTCCTCCCAAAGCGTCTTTTTGAACTGGAGGTTGCCCTCCCCGTCGAAGAGCAGGTCGCGCGTGAGGCGCGACCAGTCGGCGCCGAACTGCTTGTTGAGCGGGTCCGCCGCGATGGATTTAAACCATCTGGAAAGGAGTAGCTACGTATGAGAAACGCAGAGCGCGAACGAATAAAATAAAATAAACCCACGTCGCCGTCGCATCGAACAGATTGTCAAAGTGGCCTTTGTACTTGTCCTGGTAGAACCCGCGCCCTTGATCCTGGAGCTCCTGCGCGCGCGACCCGCACGCCGGCTCGATGATGTACCCAGACTGCAGCAGCACCTGAGGCCAAGTCAGAATTTAACGCGAAAAAAAGGGGACCGAATAATCGCAAGACATAGACACACCTTGCGCATGTACGCGGCGACCTCCTCCCACCACGCGCGCAGCCCCGCGTCGTTCTGCGCGTCCTTCGCGAGGACGGCCGCCGCGTCGAAGACGGGCTGCATCGACGCGCCGTTCGCGAAGCGCTCGAGCAGCGTGCGCAGCAGGTGCAGCGCGGGGTGCTCCGCGATGCCGCTCGCCTGGCTGTGCGCGCCCGCGCCCGCCTCGCGCGCGCGCACCGCCCACGCGGAGACGGTGTCCAGCAGCCAGCTCATCGACGCCTGGTAGTCCGCGTGCTTCTGGCACTCAATCACCACCTGGCGTGCTCGTTAGCGCGCGCGGAAACGAAGTAACGAGAACGCACCTTCTTGCCGCGCCAGATCCACTGCTCGCGGCGCTCGGCGGGGAAGTAGTCGTCCGCCCACGCTTTTCCCGCGTCGAGCTTGTCCTGATGCGCGGTGCGCATGCCCTTGACGCGGGCCATCAGCGACTGCTTTTTCTCTGCGTGTCATGTCAGCGGGGCGCAGGTGGTACAGCGAGAGACGCACCCTTCTTCTCCACGCCCTCCTCCTCATCGTCGTCGTCATCGGACGAGCTGGAGCTCGAGCCCGAGCGGGTGGGCACCTGGGGTGTTTCTCCAGTAGAAGGTGCGCCAGCGGCGGGCGCGCCGGGGGAGCTGAAGGCCGCGGCGATCGGCGTGTCCTTGTCGACAAAGTGGTCTTGCGGCGCGGGCTGGTCCGCCTGGCCCAGCGCATCCGGGTGCGGCGCGACTCGCTGCGCGGCCTCGGCCGCGCCGCGCGCGAGGACGTCGCGGCCGACGGTCGCCGCATCCGTGAGGAGCTTGCGCATCTCCGAGTTTGTGAGCACGAGCGAGAGGAGCGTGCGTAGGTGCTTTCCGGCTGCGTAGCAAAGTTGTGAGCGAA